GTGATAGGGTAAGGATTTACAAAAGCAGTTTAAAAATCACAAATAACAAGATAATGAATTAATCTCACATTATTTGTAAAATAAAAATGCCTTTTTACCATGCATTTCAAGGCGCTGTGCTTGTGCTTAGTCGCTCAGTCGTGTCCAACTCTTTACGACCCCATGGACTGCAGCCTGCCAGCTCCTCTGTCCGTGGAATTTTCCAGGCAAGAATACTGGAGTGGATTGCCATGCCCTTCTCCAGGGGATCTTCCCAACCCAGGAATCAAACCGGGGTCTCCTGCATTGCAGGCAGACTCTTTACTATCTGAGCCACCAGGGAATCCCAAGAATACTGGAATGGGTAGCCTATCCCTTCTCCAGGGGATCCTCCCGATCCAGGAATCGAACCAGAGTCTCCCGCATTGCAGGCGGATTCTTTACCAGCTGAGCTACCCAGGAAGCCCACATTTCAAGGTACTGATATCTAATTAAGAAGAAGACAGTACCAAAATAGTGATAATCAAATACAACTCTGTCCCTATGCTAGTTTTAGTTCTGTTGAGTTTCTCTAGAGGCAAATGGGGCAACCAAAAGAAGTATCCTAACGGTTCTCAGTGATCAGAATAGTTCAGGTAGGGTTTACACATCCCACAGCAAACCATCACTACAGTGCACCCAACTGATGTTATATTTGTACTAAAGATTTACTAAACATTGTGGAACTGAGAAGGGTAACCTTCCCTCCAACAATATATTCTGTATATGTAAGTAAAAGTCTGAGGAAAACTGCTAGATTTCATAGGCAGGCAAATAAGTTTTCAGGGAGAGTTGATGAGAGGAAGAAAGTTGAGGGGAGAGGGAGAAGAGGGTGGCAGGCAGAGGCAAAGGTGGAGGAAGAGGCAGTCTGTTCTCAGAAAGAAACATCAGCTACCTGTAGGCTATGATTTTCAGAGAAATTCCATTCCCACAACACAGCACTTCTGTCCCTCCCTGAACCAGCAGTAGCAGCAAAGTAGACAATACTCACTCAAAGACAATATGCAAGGTGTGCTCAGGATTTATTATATTCACTATAAGACCTAGGATTTGGTCATAAATTTACCAAATAAGATGCAACACAACCTAACACACCATCAATTTGCTTAGCTGCATTATAGCAAAAGCAGAAGACATATGAATGATGCTTGGACAGAGTTTTATTTGTGCTACTGGTTCTACTAGCACGAGTTAGTGAGAAGTTAGCATCGTTTTAATAATGTTCAACTTATTTACACCTACCTCATTATCAATTAAAGTATCTATTAAGTATACATAAAACTAGATTATTTTTATAGAAACAGATTATTAAAATATTTCTAGGGCTTAAACTGAGAATATTTAACAGGAAAGAATGATCAAAACAGCTCTACTTACTGTATCAAATGTTATATTAACAACACTTTCTTAGGTACCATAAGGTTGCCAGAAAGCATTAATATGCTCAAAACCTAAATTTGAGAAGTTTGAACTTTTAAGTGGCTTGTATGTCACATTTCACAAAAAAGAAATTAGAAACAACTTAAAATGTTAATGTGTTAGCTAAATTCTTTATAGAAGAGAGATCATGAAACCACTGTTGTACTATAGAAGCACACAGGACAGAGAGGAAACTTAGAAATGAAATGAAATGCTTGAGCCACGTTCAATCTTCTCAGAATTAGTTTCCCCAAAACAGAAAGTACAGAGGGAGCTGGATTAAAAAAAGCACATAATCAAAAGTCTGGAAAGCTTAATAGCTTTTCTGAATGGAAATTTCATCCTTATTTAAGATGAAATATAGAGAATCTTCATAAACTTATGGAAAATCATCTGGCACATTTGATATAATACTAATTATCCATCTTTCTGAATTATAGTCACCACTGGTTTACTCTACCAAAGCAGCTACTGAAATGAAGACAACACATTTTAGGGACCACTTTAAGACAACAACTACAGTAAATCAAACATTCAATTATGTAATCTTGGAATCAAGCAGCTACACTTTTTCTTCTGAGTAAATAAAAATTCCATTTTAAAGTGAAGATAATCTTTGATGCTAGACTGGTGTTCTTTTGAATAGTAATTCATAATCATCTACCAGCAAATACTACCCTTTGAAATTACAACCAATATACATCTAGTTAGTTCTCAAAAAAAAAAAAAAGACTGCTATCCAAAAGTCTACAAGCAATAAATGCTGGAGAGGGTGTGGAGAAAAGGGAACCCTCTTACACTGTTGGTGGGAATGCAAATTAGTACAGCCACTATGGAAAACAGTGTGGAGATTTCTTAAAAAGCTGGAAATAGAACTGCCATATGACCCAGCAATCCCACTTCTGGGCATACACACCGAGGAAACCAGATCTGAAAGAGACACGTGTACCCCAATGTTCATCGCAGCACTGTTTATAATAGCCAGGACATGGAAGCAACCTAGATGCCCATCAGCAGATGAATGGATGAGGAAGCTGTGGTACATATATACCATGGAATATTACTCAGCCATTAAAAAGAATTCATTTGAATCAGTTCTAATGAGATGGATGAAACTGGAGCCCATTATACAGAGCGAAGTAAGCCAGAAAGATAAAGACCATTACAGTATACTAACACATATATATGGAATTTAGAAAGATGGTAACGATAACCCTATGTGCAAAACAGAAAAAGAGACTCCTATGTATAGAACAGACTTGTGGACTCTGGGAGAAGGCGAGGGTGGGATGTTTCAAGAGAACAGCATTGAAACACGTATATTATCTAGGGTGAAACAGTTCACCAGCCCAGGTTGGGTGCATGAGACAAGTGCTCGGGCCTGGTGCACTGGGAAGACCCAGAGGGATTGGGTGGAGAGGGAGGTGGGAGGGGGGACCGGGATGGGGAATACATGTAAAAAAAAAAAAAAAAAAAAAAGATACACTATGGTTGTGATAAAAAAAAAATGAAAAATAAAAAATAAAAAATAAAAAATAAATGGGTAAAAAAAAAAATTTCTAATGTTAAAAACTTCACAGTACAAAAAAGATGATATAATTATGGGAAAAAATACATACTTTATTCTTGTAACCTTGAAGATACACTGGAACTAATTTTGTTTGTTACTGAAAAGTTATTGAAAAATTAGCCCTGTATTCATAATTATATTTATTCAAGGCTAAAATACATAATCTCCACATTGATCATAAATGCTATGATATTAACAGCATAAGACTAAGCTTTAAGTCTAAGACACTATAAATCTTAAGAGATGACAATGTAAATCTACATCCAATAGCTACTGTGAAGACTAATTTCAAATAAAATCAGTCATTTTAAAAAATAAAAGTTGTTCTGTAAATCAATAATACCTAAAATAAAACAATAATAATAAAATAATGAGCTCTCAAGTAAAATTTAGGATATAACAAAACTGAATCAAAAAAATTTAAGGGTTATTTCTAAAACTATGTTCTTATACTGCTCTTTGAGATATTTCATTTACATTCAAAATAGTTAGAATTGAAATCTCTACCCTATAATGTCATGAAGCACTCTATATGTAAAAAAAGATCTGAGCAGATCAATATGCAAAAAGTAGATCTAACCAGACTAAGCATGTTATTAAAGTATGCTATCATATTTTTCTATAACATCAATGATATATTCAAAGTTTAAAAAAGCAAGAGGAAAGATAAAGTATAAAGATAAAGATAAAGTATTAGGACCAAAAGGCTGTCATCATTCTAAATGCAGAAAATACATTATTCATGTATTTAGGATACCACTTAGCAGTCTCATTTCACAGGAGAATTATTTCCAGAGGTACACTCACAACTGAAAACTTCACTGGGATTCTATATATTGGGGAAGGAAAGTAACAGTATTAAGAGCTAAAAAAAAAAAAAACACACACAAATAATTTTTTAGCTCACTGCCCTTGGAATTTGCTAATCCAATTTCCCCTTCATTTCTTAGAAGAGAAAACAGTTCTCAAGAGACAGTGTGACTTGCTCAAGGTCATAATTAACAACACAAACAGGACCAGCATTCAGGTTTTAGAAATTCTTGAATATTGTCCTTTCTTCTACACTAGTGCTAGGGAGATGACACCTAGCTTAAAAACAAAATAAAATGGATTAAACTCAAACGCAGTTTCAAAGAAGTCTGTCAGAACAGTGAGTGCAGTATCAGCTATACACTGAGGATGAAATTCTTTGAGGGTTAATGTGAGATAATTCAGGAGGTGAATATCATGAGTAGACTAAAATAATGATACCCAACATTAACTACTAGGTGCTCAGCATTATCTCATGACCATTTTATATATTAATTTATTTATTCTACTTTAGAGGTAGATAGTGCTGGTGTTCTTAACTACAAATGAGGACAGAGGCACAGTGAAGTTAATATTTGGTAAGGTCAGGAGACTAGAGCAGATTCCAAGAGAAAAAGGAGAAAAAATTTATTTATGTACCTATTTTATATTCATGTGTCAGAGTATTTACAAATTTATGATTATAAATAACTCTTTTCTTATCAGATTCTTATAGTAAGAGTTATGGTTTTCAAAACAACCTAGCAATTAATTTAAAGGCATTCTTATAAAGACTTATATTTCAAAAAACAATTCATTACAAGATCCATGAACTAACAGGGAAAAAGGAAATGTTAATAAATCTCAAAACAGAAGAATGAGCATTACAATTGAAGTAAGGGTTGAGGGTCACATTGTTCTTATAAGTAAAGGAGTAAGTCTTCTGCTAAGACAAGAAACAATTATTTCAGATCTAGAGTTAAACTCAAGTTCCTGCACTAGGAATACAATTTATCTGTTTTAGAAGTACACCCAAAACTTCAAAATCAGTTATTTTACATTAATTCTGCAACAAGGGATGGACTAATGGATGGACGGATGGATTGATAGATGGAAGAACGGACCACCAGGTATCTTCAAACCTCCAGAATATAATGATGATATATGGTTTTCCCAGATTTTAGAAGCTCCTTTTGTAACTTACCATCTTTTTCCTCTTATCCTGTTCTGTGGGTGGTTCTTCATCTTCTGTTACTTTCGGTTCTTCAAGATGAGACATTAACATACAGCTGCAATTTTTAAAAAAATGTTTTAAATAAAAAAAGTCTATAACATACCATTCTCATTGAGCATTTTGCTTGAATATTTAGGTAATAAATCATAAGAAATTTATTTATAGGAAACTTTTGAACCATAAACCACAAAAGCAAGGTGTACCTTTTATAATCTTTCTAAAAATGATATGCCAAAACCTTTGACTGTGTGGATCACAATAAACTGTGGAAAATTCTGAAAGAGATGGGAATACCAGACCACCTGACCTGTCTCTTGAGAAACCTGTATGCAGGTCAGGAAGCAACAGTTAGAACTGGACATGGAACTTCAGACTGGTACCAAATAGGGAAAGGAGTAGGTCAAGGCTATATATTGTCATCCTGCTTATTTAACTTATATGCAGAGTACATCAGGAGAAACACTGGGCTGGAGGAAGCACAAGCTGGAATCAAGATTGCTGGGAGAAATATCAATAACCTCAGATATGCAGATGATACCACCCTTATGGCAGAAAGTGAAGAAAAACTAAAAAGCCTCTTGATGAAAGTGAAAGAGGAGAGTGAAAAAGTTGGCTTAAAGCTCAACATTCAGAAAACTAAGATCATGGCATCCGGTCCCATCACTTCATGGCAAATAGATGGGCAAACAGTGGAAACAGTGACTGACTTTATTTTTTGGGGCTCCAAAATCACCGCAGATGGTGACTACAGCCATGAAATTAAGAGATGCTTACTCCTTGGAAGGAAAGTTATGCCCAACCTAGACAGCATATTAAAAAGCAGAGACATTTCTTTGCCAACAAAGGTCTGTCTAGTCAAGGCTATGGTTTGTGCAGTAGTCATGTATGGATGTAAGAGTTGGACTATAAAGAAAGCTGAGCACCAAAGAATTGATGGTTTTGAACTGTGGTGTTGGAGAAGACTCTTAAGAGTCCCTTGGACTGCAAGGAGATCCAACCAGTCCATCCTAAAGGAGATGAGTCCTGGGTGTTCATTGGAAGGACTGATGTTGAAGCTGAAGCTCCAGTACCCTGGCCACCTGATGCGAAGAGCTGACTCATTGGAAAAGACCCTGATATTGGGAAAAATTGAGGGCAGGAAGAGAAGGGGACGACAGAGGATGAGATGGTTGGATGGCATCACTGACTCGATGGACATGGGTTTGGGTGGACTCTGGGAGTTGGTGATGGACAGGGAGGCCTGGCATGCTGCAGTTCATGGGGTAGCAAAGAGTCGGACACAAGTGAGCAACCGAACTGAACTAAACTGAAAAATGATACTTACAAACACTTATAATTAAAATTAATACTTCTTTTACCATTAATCTTCATATGTCTAGATTATTATATGTTTCATAATAGCAACAATAATTTAAACAGTGACATCTTTAAAACACTATTAATTATGTAACAGTCTACTTTGTGCTCCAAATGACATTACCATGCTATGAAGAACTTGTCCCTGATGGCACTGCAGGACAGTTACAGACCATTTTATTTTGATTATCTGCATCACTGCTCTTTACATTAGCAGAGATAAGATAGCTTCCTATTCAGTCAACACTGGTTCCAGGGAGACAAGATGAATACTGTCTAGTGAATCAAGTTAAAAGAACGAACTTTACTGTTCCTAATTTAGAACAGAATTCAGTAATTTATCAGTCATTAAGTTCTTAACCAACGAAAAACTGTGGCAAAGAAAGCTTGCTTTCTGTTATGTTTTGTAGCAAGTACACATGAAGGGCATTTCTTGACTTAGTTATAAATACCCTTCGATTCAGGGTTAAAGATAAGTGCCAAAACCAGAAACTTGATCACACTCACTCTTGTAGGGCATATGAATGTCCTTTTCTTCTTATCCCCCATCATTAAAAAATTAATTTTTTAAACAACTGTCTCTGACCCAGTCAGTCCACCTGATAGAATCAAATACTAAGAACCTTAAACTGGAAATCGGAAACTCTGAAAAACAGCAAGAACTCAATCTCTCACTCACTTCATGGCTTTAGTCTTTTGGAGCTGCAATGCTTTTGTCTACCATGATGTACAGGCGACTCTTCAACAACACAAGTTTGAACTGCAGGGGTCCACTTATACCTGGATTTTTTTCCTATAAAAAATACCATCGGGGACTTCCCTGGTGTCCAGTGATTGGGAATCTGCCTGCCAACGCAGGGGACACAGGTTCGATCCCTGATCCGGAAGGATCCCACATGCCGCAGAGCAACTAAGGCCATGCCCCACAACTGAACCCGTACTCTAGGGCCCACAAGCTGCAACTACCAAGCCCATATGCTGCAACTACTGAAGCCCAGGCACGCAAGAGCCCACGCTCCACAGCAAGAGAAGCCACCGCAATGAGAAGCCCACACACAGCCATGAAGAGTAGCCCCCCTCACTACAACTAACGAAAGCCTGCATGCAACAATAAAGACCCAGCACAGCCAAAAATGATTAATTAAAAAAATACTACAGTATTACACGATCTATGGTTGGTTGAATCCAAGGACATGGAACCAGATGAACTGTCGGTAAAGATGGCCAACTATAAGGTTTACTTGGGTTTTCACAGTCACAGAGGGTGGATGCCCCCTAACCCCTGCATTGTTCAATGGTTAACTAGTTGGCCAAATAACTCTAGCACAAAGTTGGAAAATTATGACATTATCTCAACTCAAAAGGTATTTAATAAAGTGAAAAGTCTAGGAAAAGTTTCGATTCTATTTTGTATTGGAACTGAATAATAAGATGGAGTTCCTTCACATTAGCTCTCTGAAGTCTGCTGCACACTTGAATTATAATCGTGATGAATCTGGATCTCCATGGAAGTAAGTTTCATACTGTATCAAATTATTTCACTACATTTCAAAATCTAACTTACTTGTACAGTGAAAAGCTCTCTGTTCTCCCTTCCCTAAAGATTTATTAATAATAAAGTATACTCTTTATAAATATACACATTTTTGTCAGAGGGTGGGATATTTGTACTTTGCAATTCTGAAAACTGCATTCATTTGGGTCTCTGAAAGGTGGAAAGTGAAAAAAAAATTGAAAAGCCCAAAGCTGAAATTTTCTCCTGCAGGAGAATCCTCAAGTAAAAGTCAAAAATCTAATTTTGTTGACAAAGATTAAATATAGGGAATCATGTTTTACACAAAAAGCAAGGTGAAAATTAATAGAATTTTACTAAGCTAAAAGATATGGACTGTGAGTACAATAAAAGTAATTGTAATAAAATTATAATAACAACAGCTTAAAATAGGGACAACTAACATGTAAGCATAGGCAGCCACCCCTCACATTCTACACTCATTCACTAAATACATCAAGGCACTCTAGCTGGCTAACTCAGAATCTTTCCCAACAATAAACTCCAACCAGCCAAACACAACCAACAGCATTAGCATGCAATATGAAATTATTATTTCTGGCTTAAAGGTACAACGTTTATTTAATCTATAGAAACCCACTTCTTAAGGAGATAAGAAAACTAGAACTGATGCTATTCCATTGGTCTTTGCAGTGGACACTTAGGTTGCCTGTATAATAGTCCTCCTTCCTAACAGAGCCCTGAACTTGTCAGTTATCCTCCTGTTCCATGTCCACCATAAGGTTCAGAAAAAGTTGATCTGAGCCCTAACGCCAGTGGCTCAGTAAGCAATCAAGGAAATCCTATTCCCCTGGTTGATGACTGCTTTCAACAGGAGTATGTTTAAGAAATTCTAGCCAATTAGACATGGAAGGAAATCTGATAAAATGGTTTCTAGAACAGTGCCCTATGATGTTAAAATGACACGAGGAAAAAGATGACTACTTGGCTGGCACTGGCAGTGTCATGAACTGTAATGTCTAGAACTACTTTTTGACAATGAGGGTAAGTAGCCTACATATGAAGTTAATGTGTTGAGGGGATGGAGTAGGAAGAACTGGGTCTTTAAGGTACTGTGCGGTCACAAATAGCTACTCCAAGAGCCTCCCACTCACATCCATGTGTGCTAAGTCGCTTCAGTTGTGTCAGACTCTTTGTGATCCTATGGACCGCAGCCTGTCAGACTCCTCTGTCCATGGGATTCTCCAGTCATGAATGCTGGAGTGGGTTGCCATGCCCTCCTACAGGGGATCTTCCCAACCCAGGGATCAAACCTACATCTCTTAGGTCTCCTGCATTGTGAGGTGGGTTCTTTACCACTAGCGCCACCTGAGAAACCCTCTCTCACCTGCAATTGTTTTTTTATTGTTAAAGTCAGCTGACTCAGGGGTTTCTCTTACTTGCAACTGAAAATCGTTTTACAGTCCCTTATGTAAGTATCACAAAAGTATCATCAAAAATTCACTTCTTGATTCAGGGCAAGAAACAATCTCCCTCTCTTGATACACCTACTCCCTTCTACATGATAACAGGAACCAGGTAATTCCAAATGCTTCTCTTTGCCCTGGTAGGTAGTAAAGTCAAGGCTGTTTTACACCTGGATGGCATGTTTCTCCATTCAAGATTTCTTGTTTAAATTCCTTCAACCCCATATTAATAGTTTTCAGTCACAGAGCAGGTGCTTTTCTTATTCACTGCCTCAAATCCTCTTATAACCACTAAATTGAACATATGCAACTAACTAAAAGCTGTATGTTAGTAGTACAGATAAAGTGCCATGAAGGAACAGAAAGTGAAAGTGTCAGTCACTCCGTTAGCCCTGACCCCAAGAACTGAGTCTTTGTGACCCCAAGAACTATAGCCCACCAGGCTCCTCTGTCCATGGGATTTCCCAGGCAAGAATACTGGTGTGCGTAGCCATGCCCTTCTCCAGAGAATCTTCCCAACCCAGGGAGAGAACCCAGGTTTCCTACACTTCAGGCAGATTCTTTACCATCTGAGCCACCAAGGAACAGAAAAGGAAGCAATGAATTTTTACTGAGATTATGGAAAGGAATCTAGAAGTAGGTATTTGCTACACAGGGCAATGCTGAGTGCATGACCTACCAAGGAGAAGAAATGTTATGAGTCAAAGGAAATGGCATTCCTTTGGCAATCAATAAACTCATATAACAGTGCTACACGATTTGTGCTTGGTTGAATCCACAGACACAGAATTTCAGACATAAAGGGTCAACTGTAAGGTTATATTTGGAGTTTCAACTGTGAAGAGGGTTGGTGCCCCAAATCCCTATCCGCCCTGTACAAGGATCAACTGAAATTTTAGTACTCTTTTGGAACTAGCCAAGTACCATGTGACCCTCTACTACTGTAGAGGTGCCAGTGATGCTTCAGCCAGTCAAAAACAAATATAGGATGCTAATCCACTCCTCTTTTTCTCCATAACTTGCCTGAAGAGCCAGGGAACACTGTTAGTGGAAAAAAAGAACATATTCAAAATATTCTGAAAGACAAGATCAGGCGTATTCAGGGTGGTACGCCTAGTGGGATGGGGTAGGAGGTGGGAGGGGGGTTCAACAACATATGTATACCTATGGCTGACTCATGTTGACGTATGTAGAAAACAACACAATATTGTAAAGCAATTATCCTTCAATTAAAAATAAATTAATTTAAAAATCTTAAAAAGGGAATTTATATGACAAAATACACTTGCAATATTTTTTAAAACCTAATGTCAAGACATAAAATGATTGACTAGACCAAAGAACCCCAATTCAAAATTTCACTATAAAAAAATTTAGCTTATCTCAAGATGAAACAATATTACAAGCAAAATAACAAAAAAGTTTTCTTTTATAAAGACAAAATTTAAAAGCTGCCATATGATGCTTATATGGTTATGATAAAGAAAAATAATGTAGAGTATAATTAATTACCACAGTTCAGGTGCAATTAATTAAATGATACACCTACTCTTTATAAGTTCCCGTTTCAGGATCTTCGGTCATGACGTCATGTAGGCCCTCCACTGAGATGTTTATAATACCACAGAATTTATCCTGGATAACACTAGAATACAAGAAAAGCAAAACATGTTGAAATGGATTATTTCAACAGATAATTCCTTTCTTCCCTCCTAATTATCCTCTTGAACATGAAGATAAATTTTAGTGTGAAAGTATAAATGAAACTTTCAAAATATATTTCTTAAAGCAAATATTGTACTTTGCATATTACATTAAAATTTTCTTTCACTAGATTACCAGTATGCTTAAATACTTACGTAGATAGATTAGATGGGAAAGAAATACTTTAACATTCTTTATTATGATAGTCTTATGTTAATGTTATAACTAAAAAGATAAAGGTACAAAATGTTGAAGCCATAGACTGTGAAAAAATATCTGTAAAACAAACATCTGATGAAGATCTTGGCTCTGAAAACTCAGACAACAAATAACTAAATTTAAAAACGTGGCAAAAATTTGAAGATACTTCCCCATGTAAGACATACAGATGGCATATGAGCACTTGAAAAAATGCTCAATATCATTCATTAGTCACCAAAGAAATGCAAATTAAAACTGTAATGAGATTTTAATAAAAAGTAAAAATGATGAAGACTGACAATACCAAGTGCTGGCAAGAGTGAGAAACAATAGGGCCTCTCATACAGTCCAGTAAGAATACACATCCATTTTGGAAAGAACAGTCACAATTTTTATAAAGTTAAATATTCCATACATGTAAGCAACCTCATTCCTAGGTATTTACCCAAGACCAAAACAGTATTCTCAGAACTGTATGTGAATATTTATAGTAGCTTTATTCATAATCCCAAACTACAAATGATCCGAATGTCCAACAACTAACAAACGGATAAACTGTGGGTCACTTGTCCAACAGAACAATCAGCAATAAAATAAAAGGAAACAAACTAGAGATACATGCAACAAGTTGGAAAAAAAAATCTCAAAAAACATTATGCTAAGAAAAACAGATTTGAAAGGCTATATACTGCATGACTTCATTTATGTATGTGACTTTCTGGAAAGGCAAAATTACTTAATCAGTGGTTGTCAGGCAAAGGGACCACAAGGGAACTTTTGAGGTGATGGTTACATACTGTACTTTTTTTTTTCTTCCATACTGTACCTTGAGTGAGGCACTGTTATATACTGTGTATATCTGTCAAAACTGTATGCTTATGAGGTTTCACTCTATGTGAACTATACCTTAATAAGCCTGACTTTAAAAAAGGAGAAGTATATAACCATCCACTGGTACACAAAAGTATGCTATTTGAATTTTAAAATAATTTAAAATTTTAAATTATTTAACTCTTTTCTCCAGAGAACTCATAGTATCATTCCTGCATGGGACATATCATGTTTCTCAAATTGCATTAATAAGCATAATTAAGTTTTAAAATATTCAGTAAAGTAGTTCCCGAAGTCAACCCAGTTTGGGTAATGTTCCCGCCTCTGTAAAGTCAAAATCATTTGTCTGTACTCTCAAGTGTGATCAGATTTTAGAGAACTAAATCAACAGATCAGCAAAATAATAAAAAGTTGATATCACTGTTACATTTTAATGTGTATATAACAGCCTATTGAAATAGTATATATTTTTGATATCACTATATATCCTTCACATAAGAACTAAAAATCCTCTCTCCACTCCGCCAGGCTACCCCTCTAGGTCATACAACTAATTCACACTGTTCTACAGCAGAAGCTAACACAACTCTAAAGCAGTTATGGGATTCCCAGGCGGCACTAGTGGTAAAGAACCTGCCTTCTAGTGCAGGAGACGTAAGAAACATGGGTTCAGTCCCTGGGTCGGGAAGATCCCCTGGAGAAGGAAACAGCAACCCACTGCAGTTATCTTTGCCTGGAGAATTCCATGGACAGAGGAGCCTGGCAGGCTATAGGCCATGGGGTCACAAAGAACCAGACACAACTGAAGCAACTTAGCATACAGCACAAAGCAGTTTCACTCAAATTTTAAAAAATTAATAAAGTGAAGGAAAAAAAAAACTAAAAAAAAAAAATCTCTAAAGAAACACACAGTTTGCCTTATGTGGTTCAGTGAGAAACATCTTAGGAAAAGGTATTGGAGCCAGTAGACACATGAAAAGATGCTCAACACTGCTAATTATTAGAGAAATGCAGATCAAAACTACAAAGAGGTATCTCCTCATACCAGTCAGAATGGCCATCATCAAAAAGTACAAATAAGAAATGCTGGAGAGGATGTAGAAGAAAAGGAACCCTCCCACACTGTTGGTGGGGATGTAACTTGGTGCATCCACTATAGAGAACAGTGTTAATGTTTCCTAAAAATCGGAAAATGGAGTTAACTCTATGATCCAGCAATCCCATTCTGGGCATAAATCCAGAAAAGATGAAAACTCTAATTCAAAAAAACACAAGCTCCACGAAGTTCAAAGCAACATAATTTACATTAGCCAAGACAAGGAAACAACTAAATATCCATCTGCAGACAAATGGATAAAGGAGATGAGGTTTATATACATGCATACACATATACACACATTGGGATACTACTCAGGCATAAAAAGGAATGAAATAATACCACTTGCAGCAACATGGATGGACTGAGAGATTATCTTGTTAAGTGAAGTAAACTAAACAGAGAAAGACAAATATTATATGATATCACTTAATATGTGAAATCTAAAAAAATAATACAAAATAACTTATCTATGAAACAAATAGACTCAAAGACATTGGAAACAAACTTATGGATACCGAAGAGGGAAGGTGGGGTAGGATAAATTAGGAACTTGGGGTTAAGAGATATATATTAGTATATATGAAGTAGATTATCAAGAAGGACCTACTGTATAGCATAGGAAGCTATATTCAGTAGCTTGTCAAAATCTACAATGGAGAAAAATCTGAAAAAGAACACAACACACACACACACATACACACGCACACACATGTGGGCTTCCCAGGTGGCTCAGTGGTAAAGAATCTGCCTGTTAATGCTGGAGACTGGGGTTCTTTTTCTGGGTTGGGAAAATCCCTTGGAGAAGGAAGCAACAACCCACTCCAGTATTACTGCCTGGAAAATCACATGGACAGAGGAGCCTGATGGGCTGCAGTCCATGGGGGCCACAAAAAGAGCCAGACATGACTTGGCCACTAAAACAACAATAAATCATACTGATCATTGCTGGAGCTACCAGCATGGACACACATTTCTGAGGAGAGGGTAAGAAGACATATCTTTGCCATAATTAGAAAATAACACAGTTCTACATAATCAGGCCTCAATTCAGATATGCACATTTATGGAATGAGCTGAAAACAGATTACAATAATCAAACTGCAACATGGACAAGATAAACTTTTGAATGCACAGTTATTGCCAAAAGCGGTAACTTCACCCCTTTCTCATAAATGAGGAGACTGTTTAGCTGACACTGTTGGAATCAGAATAAAGCTTGAACAGTTCTGACAGAAATCTAACGGGTTTAGGAACCTGAGGTTTACAGAAAGCCAAAAGGTAGAATTAGTGAATGACTGACAAAAAGAAGTGTCAAAATCTGCCAGAAGATGGGATGAGGATATTCCCAGAAGCAGACTGGACACAGGCCAGAGGATACAGGTCCAACCTCTACCCTGCCTGCACACACCAGTCAGAAGAAAGACTTGTCCTGGCCCGTGGCTTACTCAGGCTTAGAGAAGTCAGTCAAGTGACCATCGGGATTCACTCCCTTTCTTCCCTCCCCTGCCTGCAGATGAATTTCTAGTTCTACCAAGAGAGGTTTGGATGGACACCTGTCTTGTAGGGGTAAAGAACTGAGGTGAAGCAACCTCAGTCAGTCTGTCATTTTTCTTTTTCACTAAAATGTGACCCATGCTGCACAGAAAAGGACACAAGAGGCAGAGATCTAGCTGGGGGAAAGTGAAAAGTGAAAGTGGAGTCGCTCAGTCGTGTCTGACTCTTTGCGACCCCATGTACCGCAGCCTACCAGGTTTCTCCATCCATGGGATTTTCCAGGCATTAGTACCAGAGTGGGTTCATTTCCTTCTCCAGGGAATCTTCCCGACCCAGGGATCAAACCCTGGTCTCTCGCATTGCAAGCAGATGCTTTACCCTCTAAGCCACCAGGGAAGGGGACGGTTAATTCCAGTAGACAAAAGGAAACCATGCTCACTCTGGAGTATCTATTAGGTACCAGAGCAGAGTGAGGCTTGGACTTCAAGAGGGAAAAAGACTATGGTCCAGAGTACAAAGGTATGTAATTTGGCTTTGAATGAAAAGAGTTGATTCTAGAAAAGGAGAAGTACTGAAGAAAAAGATTCTATGCAGTATTTGTATGTGTGAGTGTGCTCAGTCGTGTCCGAGTCTTTGCGATCCCATGGACCACACCCTGCCAGGTTCCTCTGTCCATGGGATTTCCAGGTAAGAATACTGAAGTGGCTTGTCATGCCCTCCTCCAGGGGATCTTCCCAATCCAGGGATCAAATCCTCGTCTTTTGCATTAGCAGGCAGATTCATTACTAGTGCCACCTGGGAAGCCCACATTTAGGGATCAGTAAAAGGAGAAGTTATGTATCTTCAGAGCATTCAAATTCAAAAAAGCACTCAGAAGGATGCAACTCAATTATCATTCATTAAGCAGTTTGGGAAAAGAACCGCAAAATAATGGGGTAACAAAAAAGCCAGAAGAGGCTTGTACTTTCCTGGCATACAGAACAGATATTTAAAGAAGCACTATGAAGTTATAGTTTCTTTTTCTCCTTTTTAAAGTATTACAGAAATGTTCCCTCCAAATGTGTAAAATGTAACACTTTAAAAAGAAGCATTTAAAGTAAAAATTTTACACAGTATTCTATACGAAGTTTTGAATATCAGGCATTTGCTTTCCTTTTTATTCACACAATTCTCTCTCAATGCTGTATTTTATAAATTAAGAATCTTGTTTTCTGTAATACACAATCTTTCTGAATTACATGCTTTAAAATGTAATTGGACATCTAAAATGAAAACAATCAAAGGAGCTGTAAACCAGGAATCAAAGAGCAATGGGT